GCTTGAAGGGATAAGGGCAAACTGGTACCTCTGCTCTAGAGACTGAAGGCTCAGTGGATGGGAGGGTTGAAGGGAGAGGTTAGAAGATCAGAGGATGCAGCCTGAGGTCCCTCAGCTGATTCTAGCACAGAAATCTACCACTGTAGGAAGAGGGGCAGGGTGGATCAGGACCCCAGAATTATCAGCTTGTTGGGTACGAAGTAGAGCCTTGGTCCTACGGGTGAGGTTTGGGTAGAAGACAAGTGATCACCCTTGCCTATGACTTGACCCCAGCAACAGGTAGCCGGTGGCAGGCTAGGAAATGCTGAGGTCCTGTGGCTCCAAAGAAGAAAATGATGGAGCTGGAGGAAAGCAAACCCTGTGTTTCTGGCTGCAGCAGTGTGCAGTGTTTGGCTGAGCAGAGAGTGGGAACAGGGCTCAGCTTGGGCAGCCACCCACCTTTCTCATGTTTTCATAGATTTCTCTTGAATAGGTGTTTATTTGCTCCTTGTCCTAACGCCCATTTCCAGAAGCTTTAAATTGTTGTATTTTAGAAATAAATATTTCATTAATGTCCATTAACCTTCACTGTGCCTCTATATTCTCACAAATTTCTGAACGGATCTCTCAAGTTTCTGCTAGCTAATGACTTTTATTTTAGTGTTTTATAACCATTCATTGTCCTAGAAAGACTGGGATCACACACTAGTTTAGGACTTAAGTACAGCAGGTAGAACCACGGATGGTGAGGCAGATTAATTTATCAGTATCTTTCCCCTTTCCCCAGAACCTTCACTGCCCTCCAACTCTTCAGGGCATTTCTAAGTAAACAATGGCTTGGTGTTGCTCCTGGGCCCTCCTAAGAGCAGTGTTCATAGGTCAGTGATTTATTCTCAACAGCCAGTTCTCGAGAACCAGAGACAGCCACGCTGGGTTTTCATCAGCACCGTCTGCCTACTCTGTGGCACTTGGGACAACAGCATAATTAGCAAAACTATCCACCTGCCAGCGATCTATTGACCTTCTACCCACATCTCCAAGTTGAACTTTGGTGTATGGCAGTGTCCTGCCTGCTGGCTTCGTGGTTCTAAGTCCCAGGCATGCTCTAGCACTTTGCGCTCTGCATATCCTGGGGACCTGTCATGATGTGACCAAGCGTAAGTCTAAAAAGGAGTGTGGCACATGCTGTGTCACCTTGTGGTTTTCTGTCACGAGGGCTCTGAGTTCTTACCAAGCACCATGGAGTCTTTGGGAACCCAAGCTGGGCTGTTGTGAATATTGCCTTTCTGACTTCCAGTTCTGACACCTCGCCTTTTTAAAGAAATCTGAGGCCAGGGATTTAGTTCAGTGGTGTTACCACCTGCCTCATGAGCCCAAGTTCCCAAGTTCAATCCCTGGTACAAAAAAAAAAAAAAATCTCAGAATATAATAATAATTGCCTGAGATTATGGATATGGACTGATAAATATTTTCCCCCAAAGGCTTAGAATTCATGGATTGATAATAACCAAAGATGGGGGGATGGAAGGAAAGAGCAGATTTAAGTATATCTGATAGAGATACAGTCCTAAAAACAAATGTGATTCAGAAAACAAAAAAGAGAGAGGAAGAAAAATCATATGAGAATAAAGGAAATATTACATCAGCTGAAAAGCTAAAATTAAAAAAATTTTTCTGAAATTATATAATAATCTTAAAAATGTTTCCAAGCAATACCTCTTGCCAGATCAAAATGAAATTCCATGTATTGTGGACTGTATGAGCGCTGATGTCTGTTTATGACATTTATCTTTATGAATTCATTGGGTTCATGAAGGAGAAAGGCTAAACTAGCCTGGCATTACGTTACTTCTCACCTGAAATGTCAATGTCATAATTAAGACAAGGGATCATTCTACAGATACACATTTCTTTTTATATTATTTTGTGAATTTGTAAATTAGAAAAAAACAGCCTACTTTAAAAAGGTCCTGTTTAATAAAAGCACGGGGAAAAATGCCTTCATTTTTATTGAGAGATAACAGAGTTATAGCTCTTCAAGATTATTCTTATTTGGCTTTAGAAAACCAATTTGGGACTGCAATAAGCATTTGGGTTTGTTATTCAGGGAATTCATACCAAGTGAAAAGCTGAGGCCAGGTTGTGAAGAGCCACTCCAGAGGAATGAAGGAAGTCTCCGTATTTTACCTCCTCTTGCCTGATCAGCTCTAGCCTGCAATTCACTCCAAGTTTGCAAAACTTTCCACCACCTTTCAGTCCTAGGCAAAGCACATCTGCTTTTCTAACTGCTTGTCTGTCAAGCTCTCAGCTTCCCTGGGGTGAGAAGAGAGAAATAAGTGTTTTTTCTTTGTTTGAAAAGACTTTCCTGGTAGTGGGGAGCAAGAGCCTAGCGTCTCTTTCCTTCCAGGGTCCACAGGCTGCATAGTAATCAGGGAGGTAAGGAGTAGATAAAAGAGATCAAGGAGGGAGGACTGGGAGAGAGCTTTCCTGGGGGTGAGCTGGGGTCACTGCACATGTTAAACTGCCCTTCTGTGGCCTGCCAGTGCACATTCCTGGTTACCTGTCCACTTCTGCATAGTGTGCGGCTTATGCCATGCGTTACAGCGACAGATACTTCTCCTGACGATCTCTCTCCCCGAAAAAGGGAAGCAGATGGATTTAGACAGTGACCTGCTAGAATGGCAGAGTCCTGCTCCATGGGGGCCGGCTTCCCAGAGGCAATCTTGCTGAAGAGCTGCACTCTCTCCAGCTAGCTCAGCCTCTCACTGCTTGTTAATGACCAGAACCAAAGATATTTTCCATTTTTTGGAGACACACTCAAAATGGATACACTGATCCGAAGTCGCTCTATCAAGAATACATTCCGCGGTCCTCGGAGGAGCTAAGTATGGTTATGATAGCAAACACTAAGTACGGCACCCTTCAGTTTGATTTTCCTCCCCTTGGGTATCTTGCTATATTTTCCCAGGCCATCTTTCCAAAGCATATGCTTTTCATTTGCATCAGAAGTTCTCTCATTACAAGGATCACGTCCAACTTTCACCCCAGCTGGTATCTACCACAGCCCCACTGGCTAATGGCACGGGGAAGGTCTCACTCAGGCAGAAAGATGATTTCTGCTTTTCCCCCCTCTGCTTTGTGACTTAAGGATGCAATCGGTGATATTCAGCTTCTGTTCCCAGTGATTTGAAATTGAAGCACATAACGCAGACGGAAGTTGAGCATGAGAACAGGGACAAAGGATCTATAAAGCATCAAAGAATCAAAAGGAAGTGTCAGCGGGAAGTAGATTGAGAATAAAGGAGGGGAGAGGCAGGCGGAGGGAGAGCTGCAGAAGAGACAGGAGTAACCCGCCTACAGCAGAGGGTGAGAAGCGCGGCGAGGGCACCGATGCAGAGGCCGAGGGGCACAGGTGCTCCGCTGTTTTAATAGTCCACTGAGCAAACAGTTCACGGCATGAGACCCGCAAAAGGCACGCCGCGCATCAGACTGAAATCAGGGCAAGGAGGAATGTACGATCCCGAACACTGGATCTGTGAGAGGAGGGAGCAAGTCCTCAGGGCTGCGGGGAGCCCAGACCTCAGGGAGTTCCCAACTTTGTCACTTTCCGAACATGCCCCCGAGGAGTCAGGATGGTAAACAACAAAGGCCTGGGGGAAGCCATTTTTCGTCTTCAGGTCCTGAAAACCGATGGCCTATCATATACACAGCAGGCCCTGACGGAAGATGAAGGAAGGGGAACCTATGTAGCTCAGTTTGAGGAAAGAAGGGACACCCCATTTCAAACACCGGCGACTGTCGTTTGGATCCCCAGCCCATCCATGAAACTAGGAGGAAGCATCTTTAAGAGCTAGATCTTCACTGGGAGACTTGCGGTCAGGGGGCGTGGCTTGAAGGGGGCAGTGGGACCCCAGCCTCCCTCTCTTGCTTCCTGACTGGTGCAAACTGAGCAATTTAGCTCCACCTCGTGGTCACTGCCATGATGTGCAGCCGCGGCGCAGGCCCTAAAACTATAGGTCGGCCAGCCATGGACTGAAACTTCCCAAACTGTGAGCCAGAATTAACTTTTCCTCTTTTTAAGATGATAATGGGAGGGATCTTGTCACAGTTAATGTAAACTTACTTAACATCATTCTATCTTACGGCTTGGCTCCTCTGGTTCACCAGAAGTCTCTCTCTCTCTCTCTCTTTTTTTTTTTTTTTTTTTCCTGTTATCGGGAATTGAACTACAGTTCTAGAATAAAGTGGTCTGAAGCAGGGAAAGAGAGGGAGGAGGGAGAATGGGAGGAACCCACTGAAAAAAGTGTAGGCATTGCCTAGAATTTTCAGAGGGTCCCATGTGTTGAAAACATTTTCTTTCTTTCTTTAATCCCAATAGATCATTATTACCATCCTCCTCTAGTTTTCCTATTTTGTAGGAAAATTTGAGAAATCATTGTTCGAATTTCCCACTTAGGGCCATCTTGTCACCTCTCCTTGCACCTGGAAATACTTGGAAAGCTTCCTGGCTATCACACTGGAAGGGTGTTACAGGTACCGTTCAGGACAGCAAGAGAGCATCACCCATCCAGTGCCAGGGCGTCAGGGCAGGGAGCCTGGTCCCCGTACCTGAAAGCGAACAGCTCTGCTGATTGACTTGTTCATCTATTTGGCAGCACCTACTCGGCTGGTTCCCCGGGTCCACTGTGGCCCGGCGGGTCCAAGATGCTCAGGGAGCGGCAGTACTGGCTTCAAGGGTTCCATGCTCTGATATGGAAGGTCAGCATTTGGAGCAGAGTGAAATCTTTTCAGGGATGGATCTGAGGGCGTCCGGGGAGATGGCAGTGTTGGGATGCACCGAGGCCCAGTGTGCCCAGGAGGGTAGAGAGGAGGAGGAAGAGGGAAAGAGAGGAAGGGGTGGGGGAGGGAGGAGGGAGGAAGAGGAGGGAGAATGAAGAGGAAGGGAGGGGAGAGGGAGCCCAGGAGGAGGGCAGGGAGGGGGAGCAGCAGGCGCTGCAGCCCAAGCCAGCAGCAGTCAGTACCTGAGCAGGGGCCGACCGGTACCCCCGTGGGGGGGCTCAGTGCTTGAGGAGAGGAGAGGCCCCAGGGAAGGGCGGGCAGCACCTGGGTGGGGCTGCAGGCGCAGAGGCTTGGCTGCTGCTTCTGGGGTTCTGCTGGGCTCACAGGGGGGTCCTGCAGCAGCGGGGCGCACAGCACCCTGCTGTCCTGCCAGCTTTTCTGGTTCCTTTCGGGTTGGGAGCAGCGATGGAAGCGGGGCCCCCATGCTGGGGAAGCTTGTACCCTGGCACGAGCGGCACCCCAGCCCCGAAGAGTGCATATAAATAGGTGCAGTTCACTGTACATCCCAGAAGACCATGAAAATCAGCTTTCCTACAGTGGGGACGAGCCAGCTTCGTTCTGACAAACAACTTCAGCCAGGCCTGGTTCAGAAGTACACTTTGTAACGGAGCAGCCAGCGCTCAGCCAATCACAGGCAAGCACAGCGCTGCCACCCTCCCAAGACGCTTTTGTACCTCACTTCCGGTTTTCGCCCGTGGACGCTGCTGACCCTTTTCAGAGTCCAGCAGAGCAGAGGCCTTCTGCCTCCGAGGACCGCCTCTGATTTGGGCTGTTGTGTGAGCCGTTAAAATTGGCTCAGTTTAATTTGCGTACAGTTTTTAAGTTATAAACACGTTACCTGTATATTGACTTATGAATGCTTGTACTATGCCAGTGAGCTGGATACGTCCTGAACTCGCTCTCGCTTTGGGAAACCAAGATACAGATTGGTTAACCAAGCAGTGAGGGCAGAGCTCTGTCCGGGCTTCTAGCTGCAAGGTCCTGTGTAATTATTACTTCCTGACAGTGTCAAAGGCCTCTTCCTCCCTGACCTGAGTGAAAGGGAGAAAGAGCAGCCGCCAGCGATCCGAGCTGGCCTGGTGTTATTTTCCTATTAGACATAAATAATTTTACAAGGTACCGAGCCTTGTGTAAAATGAAATGAATCAAAGCAAGGCCGCCCCATCATGTCATCGTTTTGTCTAAGAATGGATAAAAACAAGGTCATCGTGCCACGCAAAATACCAGACACCCTCTCTCCTGGCCTGAAGGAGTAGCTGCTGCTTCTCTGCCCCTTACTGTTTCAACTTCCGTCTACCGGGTCCCCACCCGCGTGTCAGATTTACTGAGATTCTCCCAATTCAGAGTGAGCCCTGCGCCCTCAGACTCACCCCAAATCAGCTTTAAGCCCAGGTCCTGAAACAGACTGTAGCACCTGCTCACAGAGGCACCACCTTCCATGGGGAGTGTCTTCCCTCCCACCACAGGCAATGTACCATCTTGTGCATTCCTGGTAGGCTCTGCTAGAGTCATTGGCATCTCTGGGTCACATATATTTTCACTTCTTCAAAATCTCTTCCTCCTGGGCTTTTAGACACCATTTTTTCCTAATTTTCCTTTTTCTAGTGGGGGCAGCTTCCAGTGACTTCTACCCCTTGGTCTCCATGTCTTTGTCTAATCCCCTCTACTACAGGATGAGCCTGTGATGGTTGAGCTTGATTGTGTCCAGTTGCTCGGCTCGGGACGCACTTACTGGGGGCATGGGTGGGCACACTTCTGGGTGTGTTGGGTGGGTCATGGAGTTGGCCTTGGGGGCTCTATCTGGCCCCTGGTCCTTCCCCTCAGGGTACTGACTTCCTGGTCTGCTTACCAGCCACCATGATCCTAGCATCTTTTCTCTCTTCCATCTTTGTCCTTCGGCCATGATGCATCTGCTTTGGAGCCAGCCAGCATGGACCGAATACCCTCAAAACACAAGCCAAATTACACTTCTCCTTTACATTGTGGGTGCCAGGTACTGCATCTCAGCAATGAGAAAGCTCGCGAACACAAACCTTGGCATAGTTAGTGATTTGCCTCTGATGAATGGGACCCACCAAACATGATAGGATGTCCCTGCTGGAGTAAGTTACAAGAAGCCCATGGCTTCTGTCTTGTCATCTTGTGGCCTGTCACTGCTCCCTCTCAGGAGCCACACTGAGCTGCTGTATGGAGAAGCTCACTTAGAGGAGTCTTCTGTAAGAAATGTCCAGGAACTGACGTAAGCGGAGCAGACAGCAGCAGGTGAACTGAGGCCAATGGTCCAAACTCAAAGATAACTGGATTCCGCCAACAACCACTTGAGTTATGTGACAGGTTTCCCTCACTCTAAGATGGCTGTTACTCCCCTTCCCATAATGCCCTGCTTCTCACCTAAAAAGATGGCTTCTCCCACCTACCAAAAGACAGCCTTCTTCTTCCCATGATGCCTCTTCTCCCACCAAAAAGAAACCAAGACACTTGCTACCTCCAAGTAACCAGTAATGTCACAGGCTCCTCTAATCCCTTAATACTACCTCACTTAACTCCACCCCAGCTCCTATAAGCCTCACCCCAGTCCTATAAAAGAAGCTCTCTGTTCTGCTATATTGCCCTCTCTCCTTTGATCGGAGACAGCCTGGTAGATTGTCCCTACAATAAAGGCTTATAGTGGTTCTGGTCTGGTCTTGGTCTTCAGCCGTTTTTACCTGACAGTGTGGGAAATGGTATTCCCCCAGTCAGTCCTGGCAGACCCTTGGAGAGATCTGTAGAGAGACATGCAACTACACATGCTGGATTCCTAGCCTGCAGAAACTGGAAGATAGTACATTTGTGTTACTTTGGATCTCTACATCTCGGGGCAAGTTGTTATGCAGCCATAGAGAGCTATTGCAGACTTCCATAATAGAAAGAACGGTTATTCTACAACACAGGCCTGGTCATCTCACTGCAGCAGGGACTTAAGAGGCTGCTTTTACTGAAAGCACCGCTCTTCATGCGGCCCACAGATGTTAGATGGGTTACTAAAAACAGGGTAACAGCTTGGTGTCTCTTCATTCACATTGCTTCTATGTCCTTCGCTGCCTTGAACTTTGGCTCAGATTCCTACACGGATCTGTGCAGAGACATGTTAGTCCTTTCAGAAGTGTTCTTCTGAGGCTGGGCCTCCTCCCCTTCAAGGCTGAAGATATCAGGATATGCATCATTACAGTATTTTCAGGATTTGCAGGGACATCACAATCTACAGATTGCCAACTTCTGGCTTCTGCAGTGTCCTGTTCCAGACCACTGGAATGGCACCTAGGTGTCTGATCATCGTAACCAGATGGAAGGGCCTTGGTATCCCAGAAAGGCAGCAAGTGTGCATTTATTAAAGGTGGAAAAGAAGTACACTCTGCAGAGTGAGAGCTGGCTGGTGAAAAAGCTCACAGCCACCAGAGGAGAAGGGAGGGGGGTCTCCTGTATCCACAATTCCTAGATTATTTCTTTCACGTAAATAAGGAAGGGGAAAGCTGTCCTGCCAAACGCTCACCTGGCATTAGCCGTGTCCTCTCAAAAAGCTCCTTTGGCTTCCTGTTACCTGTAAGTGAAGGGTCAGGAATAGTGTCTTTTGATTGGTTGTGTGCCCACATGTAAATAAACAATTGAAAAGAGCATCTTCTGATTGGTTCTGTGAACCAGAGTCAAACGGAAAGATTGAAAACAGCAAGTTTCTTATTGGTCCAGATAGCAATTTTCTGACAGCCTTACAGTATTAAGAGTGTTCCTCCCCCGGGAATGTCCTGCATCCTGGTGGGCTTTCTTAATTGCCCTAAACCTGAGAGAAGGCCCAGGCATTGCCCCAACCAACTCCTTCTTGCTCCTCTGAGAGGATCATTTCTCCTCTCCAGCCTATCTCAGAAACTCCATGGCTTGTAGGAATCATCCCCTTGGTTGCAGCAGGACTGGCTCTAGGGTCTTGGCTGCCCAGACCATAGCCCAGCCAAGAATCCCTGCACTTCTGTGTGGTTCTTTTCCTTGCTTCTCCTCTTCTCTGTATAACCCAAAATTGTAGACCCCTTGACCACAGGACTTTGGGTGCTGCTGCCCCGTCCCTTCCCAGTATGTCTGTGCAGAACAAACTCCTTTGATGCCATTTAGTCTCTTGGGTGACTGGCTGAGCTGGGTTAGGCCAGCCACTGCCCAGGGGGTTCGTATGTGCCCCGAGCTATGCAGTCTATTTCTTAGCCATGATTAACTGCTTATAAGTCCCTTCATATCCGAGCGGCTTTATTCTCTCCCTGACTCTAATTTCCTTCCTCTGCCCCTGAAATTTTCCCAACCACTCTCATTCTACTAGAACAACTGCTTTCCCTCTGGGGTTCCAAAGCCAGAGACACAGAAGAAAATAGAGGCAGCAAAGGCAGAGAAACAGCACAGAAATAAGGAAGCAGTAAGAAAAGGCTGGGAATTTAGCTCAGTGGTTTTGCTGCCTGCCTTGCAGGCGCAAGGTCGGGAGTTTGATCCCCGGTACCAAAAAGAAAAAAGAAAAGAAAAGGCAGCACATAAGCAGACAAGAATATGGAAGAGATAGGAGAATGGTAGCAGAAATATTTTGGCTTCAGAAATAATGGGGCGAGGGAAGGCACAGACCTTTGTCAGAGACCTGTCTGATCCTCAGCTCCGGAGTTGTTACATTTGTAGCTGGGGGAAAGACCCAGAGCCTTAGGCGAAACAATGCTGCTGCTATTTTTGGCCAATCAACACAAGCAGCCGGAGGCTAGGCAGCCGTGGAGGGCCCTACTCCCATGGGCACCGAGCACGCAGTACACTCTGGGTACATTTACAAATATTATTTTTAGATGTCATTTTTGGCTCTCAGAACTTCGGCCATTAGCGCTACTTCCCTCCCTACCCTAAATTAGGTTTCTTCCCTGTGGAATGCCAGGGATGCTGCGATGAAACCAACATCCACTCTACTCGAAATTCCTAGTAAGTCTGCTGTTCAGAGTGTTATTTTCCCGTGAAGGGCAGCCACTTGGTCTAAGAGAGTTGAAAAGGAAAGAGACTGCTAAAAGTTGCAGAGCTGAAAAAGATTTAATGGTGTGCAAATCCAGCAGGCAGCTCCTGGACTGCAAGAGGAGGGGATGTTCCCTCTTTAAAAAGCAAAATATATTAAAATGCAGTCATTAGCTGGTGTTGAATTCTAGAATCGGTAGCAGCCTATGGGGATTTGGGGGAAGTTCCTCCGGGAGGATAAGAAAATTGTGCCTTCCCTTAGGGAGCACAAGAGGCGGTGCAGTCTCCCTGCACTGACCCAGAAGGGAGGGGAAAGCCCTGCGCATTACCCTGAGAGTCCAGGACAGGTTTCCTGTAGCAGCAATGGAGAGGACATTCAGCAGCCCTGGAATTGGTGTTCAGGGCTGGGTAGCCCAGGCTCTGAGAGAGGAAGATGGCCCTGGGGCCTGCGGATCTTATCACCAAACCACACTTTGTTGGGACCTGGCAGAGACTCCCAGATGATCTCCAGATTCTTCCTTTGATCATCTGAGGTTTCAGAAAGGCTTCTAAATAGGAGAAGTATACTAGTGTTTTATCT